AGTGATCACTGAGAACAACGGAGATCACTGAAGAGCTGCTTCATCCTATTTCGGGGCTCTTCATCAGTATGAACCAACAAACTCGATAGAGATCGAACTTGGGAGTTTCAGATAACAAGACCAACCTCACTGGACATTCAGCGATTTACGCTGAAATTCAATGACTGGCGAATTCTAACTTTTTTTATGTTATGTATTTTGATATACACTGAAAACTTAATATTATAGCTGTATATAGTTAGGTTTTAAGTCGGGATAGCTCTAAACTATGGCAGCACAAAATGAAACTACCAAATAAAGGGATTAATGACCTTGAGCAACCCGTCAGAGGAATCCGTAGTATGTAGAGGGAATTGTTGATGCTGTAAAAGAATTATGTAGCGAATTTCATCACTTAGACATCAGGCCTATTGGAAAGGAAGAAACGTAGAGCCAGCTACCATCCCTGGGCTTTATTCACAATGTGGTCAGTCAAACGGACAATTTCTTCAATCTTATCGATGGGACTCATTCAAATTCCATTGGAAGTTTCTAGAGTCCCCTGGAAAAGAAGAGCAGAGAGGTGAATGAGTCAAGCGACATGATGACTTACAGTTGTCTCAATGAAGTTATGCACAGAAATTGTTTTAACCTAACTATGAGAACTCCTATGAGAAACTGGGAGGTTTCCTTGGAACAAAGATAAGGACTTCAACTCATTTAACTATTTTTTAACATTGCATTACTTGTGTAAAACGTTTTTTTTAAAATTACGCATTTCCAGTAAGAACGCATCTCATTGGCCGATAGAGATTTGCCAAGGTCTTTATCAGATAGTTTCTTTTTGGGCTACTATGGTTAAGAATCGCCGAAGTTGGTTTACTCATTAGTGTTTGTGAAGTACTCCGTATTGAAACTAATATGAATTGGGGTTCAGCATGCATGACAGATGCATCCAACGGATAGGCAGTTAATTGAACAGTCATAATTCATACTTCCATTTGTGTGTAGCTTATCCACAGGTTTGACAGATTTGATCAGTATATCATTTACTTCTGGCATAACTTTACTTACATTTTGATTTCGGTCAGTTTCTAAAGTGGAAATTTCAAATAAATCAAGTCAAAGTCTTTGAAGTAAACGGTAAGAGGCTGAAACAGTTTCTGCTCCAATAAAACAAACTGGAATAAAATATTCTGATGGGGAAAGGTAACCTTTTTCTATTTAAAAAAAGTTATGTACTACCACACAATAACTAACAGAACACTAATAGAATAGACTTTAAAACATCTGGTGACGTTAAACTTTATAATGGATAGTTGATTATAACTAAATAAATAAAATTAAAGGGACTAGACAGATTTTTATTATTACACATGTGCTCATAAATATAAACGGGGAGAAAGGGATAGAAGTATTTCTCAACATAAAAGCAGAAAAATGCGTCTACGTAGGCTTTCGTTACTATGCCTTTTTTCAGTGTTGTTTTTTCAATTCTATAGAAATAGTCTGTCTTATATTCAGCCTGTCATATTAGTTTCCTTTTATTTCTAACTATTTCAACCTACTCAGGAAACGTTTTATTTTGCTTATCTAGAACAGACAATTTTTATTTACATATATATACTTATATGAATAAATTACTGAGAACAGTTTAGCATATTTTCTCAATAATAAACTGTACGTGATGTCAGTTTGTCTTCGAAAATGAAAATATATTCACTTAGTCGTATTTACATACTATCCTTAGGTGAGGTGTAGGGAAAACACAAGTGAACCCTGTGGTAAATGTCGGAAAGTCTGAAAGTCAAAACACAGAAATGCTGGTAAACTCGCTAGTGGTCGCGCCATATCATGGAGTGGCCACTGGATTGGGTCCCAGTGGCTAAATGGTCCATGAGCTCACCTTGTAACCGGAAGGTACTGGGTTCGACATCTGGCGGTGAGTGCGCGCCGCTAAAGAGTCTCAAACTAGGACGAAACAGCTGTCCAGTACTCCCAGGTTTCCCAATGCTGCTCTAACCGATGTCAGTTCATGATGAAATCCTGAAACCAATCAAATCCATGCAAAGCAACGCTTGAATCTATATAATAACTGCTTATTGCATTTGTTCGTTGGAGGCCTGCTTGAATCAGTGGGTTACTTAAATTTTCAACCAACACAGTGCATCATAGTGTTTTTTCTAATTCTTATTGTTTCAACCATTCAAATATGTCCTTGAGTCGTAAAATATACACACACGCACACTTTTAATTGGCTTTCAAAAGTACTGTTGCACATTTTTTGGAGACGAAATTAAAATATCATAAGAAATTAGTCTACAATTCGGATCGAACAGCGTTCCGTCATATGATATGCTGCAGATTACCATTTTACCTGAAGATCATGGATAAGGAGAAAAGATATTATACAGTAAATTAAGTTGAAAAATGTGCGGACATTTTGTGCCGAATAAAGCTGTTACTATTATGTTATTGACATCAACAGTGTCATAATAAAGTGAAATACATTGAAATTCTTGAAATTATATGCAATTTTCGAAATATATCTGAAACAAACTGATGTTTCCTTGTCTGTTTCGATATTATTGTCATTTACATTTGAAATCACATGAATTCAATATTTCATCAGTCTGTTTTATAGCTGATAGATAGTTTAAACCAATAAACCCCCACTGTGTGATCATTAAGAGTATGTCTAACGGTGTGTGCATCATATGCTGCGAGTTAAAAGTATTCATGAACCTAGATGCTTACAAGAACATAATATGATGAATTAGATCTAGATGTCGAAAGAATACATACTGTCACAAAATGAAGTCAAATGCATAGATGTTATTTGAAGCACATCAAAATTATTTAAATGCTATCTTAAATAAGTGTAGAAAAACACTTACTTAGTACTCAACTTTCATTTTAGCTTATAAAAGTTTGTTTAATGGTGTTAAAGTCTAAGAAATGCGTTTCCAGTTCACTCTCTTGTAACTCACCCTCTATATAGTGAAATTTGAACGAAAAGAGATATCGGCAATGGATAACTAATGTCATGAGATCAAATATAGAATTCCTGGACAGGTGAAACTCAGATATTATTAAAGTTAAAGAAATAACCGACTAAATACAACACAAAGTCAGTTTCCTTCACAAGTGATCAAAATAAATCGATCACAGAAACTTATAAATACTTTAAAGCTGTTCAGATATTTTTAGCTGTTTATGGCATTTTCATAAAGCTTCTTACTTAAAAACATCATTGACAGATTGAACAAGTGATGATATTGTTTATATCTTATTTAAAAACAATTTTTAAGTGAATTGTTTTCGTTGTAAGGAAAGTATGTTAAAGACGAAGAAACCAGGGAAATGTGAAGCGGAATTTTCCAAAAGAATCATCCCTCCACATGCGATTAACTGTTTATGATTCAACAATAACCCGAAAGTGATATATCATTTGAAAGTTTCACAGTTATGAAAAGCGTTTGATATGTGGTGAGAAATGATATGAATTTATTGAAAATGAACGATAACTCCCGATTTCCAGTTGATACATTCATTGTACAGTTTCTTCTAAAAATTAAATGACTTAAACATACTTTAAACATGACTGCACCGAAGATAGGACTAGTGTGCAATCAAAAAAGACATCATTTTATATTTGCTGCTAATAAGCTTCCATATTTAAACATTTTAAAGTCAGTAAATTTTAGGAAAAAGTCAGCGGAATACACCATTTTCTGTTTGAATTCCGCGAATGTTCTCCGTGTAGTGTAGAAATCAGAAAAGAGAAAAAACATTGTTTTATTAATACAGTTTTCTAATTCAGTTAGGAAGGTAGATATCTATTCTCAATTTTATTTCATACGAACATAAACGTTTTGTAACACTGTTTGGCTTATTTGTTTCAATTATTCTTGGTAAAGCTATATCTTGGGGACGTAAGAACCACTCACAGGTCACTGGTACTATTGGCACAATAGCTTTAAAACAGGTCGTTCAACAATGTATCAACACTAAATTACTGGCGACCTTTTCAGAGTTCTCTATAAATTGTAAAAAATTTCAATTAAAGATGCTTATTGAAAATTTCGAAAGATTGATTTTTGAACAATATTTTTTCTTTCGATAACTTCCCCAGCAGGAAATAAAATTATGCATCCACAATAGTTACGTAATAACTGTTATGAATATCAGTTATTCTTCAGTTATTACAGACACAGAACTGTCAGACGTCATGGAAAAGTTTTAGGAAAGAAAATTTTCATTCAATAATTAGTTTTTTGACATTTCATTTATTCGGCAGACATTTGAATAGATAAAAATAAAAAACAAAATAAATAAAAGAACAAAAAGTTCAGCGAAGAGTCTCTTTTCCGCGAATTCATTCACTTAGCTGTACAATCGCGTTTATATATAAATATTTTGTGTGTGTGTACATCAGAATTGTCAAACAAAATTAAAATATTAGTCAAAATGTTTTGAAAATGTGATGAATAAACAGAATTGTAACTGGTGGGGTTAAGAGTGGTAAGTAGTGCTAAGGGTTGCGTAATATCAAATAGAATGTTAATGGTGACACGTGTCCAAAATAAATTATGTAATAAGTAGAAAGAGTAAATGGCCTTTCGGTGTTCAGACTAATTCAACGTTCCAACAAAGCACTACTGCTTGAGGTGAGCGTTTTCCAGTTGCACATAAGAATTAGGAAAATAAACATAAGGCAAGAAATTTTAGTCTGGAAACCTTTAACTAGACATTTTATTACGCAGAACTTGTTCAATGTTATGGTGTTGAAATTTTCGTTGACTTCAAATCTAATGGAGTCATACAACGCACGTGTTTGAGTTACTTTCGTCACCAAAGTCACTGTCTTAAGCGGTTAGTAGACTGCACAGATGAATCATATTATTGTAAATCATATGTAGGTATACAAAGAAGTGATAATAGCAACTTGATTTTCTTATTTTTGAATTTTTCAATTAATTATAAAGAATCTTTCTTGTATTTTTGTTTTTTTTTCACAGCCTTCCACATCTAAGTCATCATGCAACTGATGCAGCTATATATATTTACATGTACAGTATATATGTGGAAACTCCAGTGTCAAACATGACGGAAAATATCAGTGCATGGTTAACTGTAGTACTCGCTATTGAACGCTATGTAAGTATGAAACATTGGTCCCTTTCCAAAAGATACTTCACGCGCAGAAATACACGTCAACTAATCGGTGTTATATGTATTGTAGCATTCATTTTTAACATTCCATATTTTGCAATTCAAACAGTATCTTTAAAGCAAGTGAACGGTGTGTTAGAACTACGCAGTGACTTCACAGAATTCTCACGGTCTACATATTATGCGTTTTATTCATGGCTACGCATTGTATGCGTACAAATTATCCCTTTATGTTTTCTATGTTTATCAAACTGTCTCCTATTTATTCTTGTATCTCAACACAATCGCCGATTCTCGGGCAGACCAAATAGCAATGTGGAGAATACACAAAAAAACTTGAGTGGAAAAAATTTCAAAGGAAGGAACATAAGTGAAAGTCAAATTCAAGCAGACTTTGCATCACAAGATAGGTGTGTAGATAGCTGCAAACTTTATTCTAGTCAAAAGTCGCACAAATCATCAAGTCAGTCTTCTCCATTGTCTGCAGATGCTGATGTGCAAACATTATCCACTAAATCAAATGAAATCGAATTATCTTGCCGAAATGAAAATAATAATAATAATGATAGTGTAAAAAGCAAAGAAATAACATCAAAACTTCGTTCAAAAAGACGACAAAACACTCAATTAAAATTAACAATCCTACTGATCGGAGTTATTTTATTGTTTTTAACTGGGCAGGTACCTCAAGCATTAGCTTATGTCAGAGTTTTCACTACACTAGGTGTATGTTCAATGGAACAGATACAAACTTGTGTAGCATATCAGATGTATCGAATGATAACAATTAACTTGGCTCAGTTTGCTTTTGCATCAACATTTTTCCTATACTTATTTCTCAACAGGGATTTTCGTGAAACACTTAGGTATACGTATTGTCATTTTTGCCCATTTTGCCTTAAGCAAAATGATAGTGGACAACGTGCACCAAGAGAAACAAATTACATCAGTGAGCAAGCTTCTAATTATCACAAAATTTAAAGTAAAATATCAGTTTCTTTTGTCATATTTTATATTTAACTATACTAAATTATATACTTGTATATTTTTTCTGTCATTGTAATTACTTTCATTAAAAATATATATTATGGTAGTAAACCAAGGGAAAATGAGATAATTAATCAAGACTGAATTTAGTTACATATATTGACAGTTTTCAAACTCCAAAGCGGTGAAATCAATCACCACTTATTTTGTACAAATATATTCAGAAATAAATCTAATTGGAATATCACAGAAACGCTGCATTTCTCCGGAGCTTTTAAATAGGAAGGATGGGGCGAATTAGGAATAGATTTCAAGGGTTCTGTTATACGTTAACACATGGGCTGTTGTCATTTAAAAGTCTTTTGTACAGTGTTCTTATCCTGCTCGGACAGAACTCGTTTGACTCATTTATCAAAATAATACAAGGGGAAAGTAAAATATACAGCATTGTGGTTACATTCTACCTGTTCGACAAGTAGGGTGCAGTTTGTATTTCTTAGACAACGCATACTACTGTACTTTGACATATATTTCGTCACTTTCTTAATCTAAGGTTGTTTTGTCCAGAAAATTTCAGTTTCACAAGTTACTGTCTAGTAAAACCTAGTCATCAATATATGAGGTGTTAATCGGAAACTTAAGTGAGTCAATGATTTCTAGTAGCAGAGTTACATAATGTGTTTATTTCAACTGTTGAAAAAAAAACCAAGTTTAACTACTTTTTTGAAATTACATTGAGGAATACTTGTAAGCTTACTAAAATTGTTAACTCACGAAAAAGACACATGCAGCCACAGAAATAAGAACAAACAGTTTACAGAAGAGTGTCTTTGTGGCGAATTTCACTTGCATCTTCGAATACAAAGGTTTTCAATACCTTTAGTGATACGGGCAGTTTTCAACAATTATAACATGACTGCTACAGTTGTACGATGCAAAAGGGTCCTTTTACCTCTGAAAGCAAATGATTTACAGTATTAGAAGTGTTTACAACAGATAGGAACACTTATCTCCCAAAAGTATAATGGAGAGACAAGTAACTCCGTATGACTACCGGGTAAATACTTGTGCTATCTTTATTTCTGCCTTTCCAGTCCAAGTTAGAGACTGCTTAAGCTGTAAAAAGTCAAAACTGTAAAGCTGAAAGGACTTCAAAAATATAAGCATGAATGTTCAAATGCTTTCTTGTATATCAAAGGTATTGAAGTGCGTGCCTCTATCATTATACTTCTGTCAGAAACAGAGAGAGAACTGTCTACATACTATTGATCACTAACCAATTTCATTTTTCCCGATACCATTTAACATAACTCTACTTTTTAACAGTGACATAAAGTTTATGTAGAAAAAAAAACCATAGATTATATATGCACTTGTCAAAAGTATAGTTTGTATGCATGTACATGTTTGTACAGTGCCTATGAAGGCGCTTCTCATCCCCACCTACTTCTGGCATTTTCAACGTTTTCATGCAACATGATATTCCATCGAAAAAAGCAATGTGAATTAGTTAGGTATATGCTTAACATCAGTTGGCTGGAGAGACGAATTATCATACCATATTGTAGAAATTCATGAAAGTATTTTATGAATAAACTGTTTTCGATAAATATGTTCAATGAGGACAGATAATATCTCATTTTCAAATGGTAATACAGAAGCTTGCTAGATGGACAGACAAAAACAAACAGAAAGTTTTGAGATATCAGTCTATTGACTACAATTTCTACCCTTTACGCGCAATACAAAAAGTAGTATTAGTTGGACATAGTATAAATCAACGAAGAAAAACAGTAGATGTAATCGCCTGAGACTTGGTATTAAAATTGTAGAGTTAATAGTAATATTTATTACTGTGAGTGCCACTGCAGGAATTCCTAATCATGTAATCTGCTTGTTCGAGATTACACAATGTCATGAAGAGAATAGACGACAATTCAGTTAAAGGGATTTCATTTATAGACAAAGTCAATGTCCAAAAGTTTCTGAGCACTTAATTACGTCAGAGGCTGTAGCGATTGGTCAATGTAACTGCAGACTCTCTGAGAACAGAATGATGGTTCACTCTCTTATTCTGCCATGGCCTTAAAGGTTTTTCCTACTCCTTTGGCTTTACTTTTAGTAAGCAATTTGCCATTATCACTCTTACTTCTTCCTTTTGCACGTTTGACAGGTTTTTTCCTCAACTTCTTGAAATTTGTCAAGTGGACACTGAATGATCTTGCTTAACATCGAATAATGATTTTCATCTTATTGAGTCACGAATCCTTACTTTTATTATGTCGTTGACTATTGCGTAACTTTCACCTTCAGAAGTCTCTTCTGAATACCTTTGTCAATTATATACCACCTCTGCTGCTCAAAAATACAGTACTGTGATCTTTTGGTACAGCCTTGGAAGATGATTTTGCGGATAAATTTTATTTTCCCCATGTCGCAACGAGTATTTTCGGTCTCCTTCATGAAGTTTTCAAATCTTTACATGACATCGGCTGCTAGGAACACTGTGAATAGGTGCTTTTTCGAAATATATCAAGATGAAAGATAACTGCATATTGCCTCACTTGAATACGAATTAAGGGTATGATGCAGTTTTGTTGCCAAAAGGCGCGCACTAAATATGCGGAATACACAAACTATAACACGTATACTTCTGAAAGTACACATCATCATTAATTTAATTGCAAAAGTAAAAGTTGTGCGTAACACTGATCTTGACTAATTACTGTTAATAAACTTATCACCATTAGATTGGTCAATTTCTGGATTGTATTAATACTAGAGCAGAGCCATTGACGACTATCTTATGGAAAATTAAATATTCCTTGGCCTATTCTATCGTCCTCTAAATGTCTACATGGGGATTTCCCATATAAGCTAATAGAAATTGCTGTCCTTATATCAGTGAATACCTCTAAAAAATATCATTTTCAAAAAATAAATTGATGTAAAGGTGACTGAGTATGCGTACTAGTGTAACAACAACAAAGTGCTGTATGGTAGCAGATTTATACACACTTGTGGTAAAATGCAGAAACCTTATAGCTAGCTTTCTTTGATCATAGGTGCCTGAGTTCTCTCTCCCCTGTTAAGTGGTATAATACGGTGAGAGATATTTAGGTTAGGTGTTGAGTGCTGGGTAAGGATGGGAAATCAATCGACAAGGTTGTGAAACTACACCGTTTGAGATGGTTAGGACATGTGTTACTCATGCCTAGCCATCACCTTCCTTGACGGGCAATGTTAGCTGATATAGGATCGATCAGGTTGGAAAAGAGATAGTGGTGATCAAACCAAAACATGGATTCATCAGTCAATGAAATCCACAAAAGTTAGTTTAAGCCAAGTAGGGAGTTGCAGACCTCCTGGTTGGGGTCTTGTGTGTGGTAAACACCAATGGCTGGAGACAATTGGTGATATGGCTCAAAATCGTTCTCAATGGAGCAGGTGCATTCACTCTTTGTAATTCATAATATCCAATAAAATTCTACCCTTCTTCCATATTACTATTCTTTTTGCCTCATATTTCTGTTTATTATCTCTCTCTCTCTCTTTTGAATCTCTGTTTACTATCTTCTCTTGCTTTGTGTGCTACATGGAGTGTGGCAACTCGAACTGCTGCACATCTGTGCTAAGTTCTATGTTGAAACTAGTGAGTCAGTCAGAAACCTTACATCGAAATTACCATTTTTTAAATTTTTCGTGTTCTTGTTTTATCTTTCTTTCATGGTTTGCATACTATTTCACAAGGATTTTTCATTTCCCTTCTTCACAATTAATTCACCCCCGCGCTATTCAAGATCCTTGCAGAAGACATCATGACAGTATACTACTTATAAATTATTGTCAGTACAGCACACCAAACTAGAAGCATTGAAATGGAATTAAATCTTTTATTTTCAGAAAATATCTGAATAATTTATTCAAAAATAAAACAAGAATGAATAAAACAAAAGACGAGGTTACTCTCAGTATGACCATTTCTCACTATTAAATAAATTTCTCATCTAATATAAAATAACTATAATAATAAGCATTATTAAAGTGTCATATATACTCGTATCCTTTAGCAATAATTTAAGTGTTAAATTAAGCATAGAAGAATTAGAATTTTGAACAATACAGAAGTGTAATTCGAGTATGCAAAAGAAGAAAGATGATATCTGGTCACAGCCTTTGAAAGAGATCTTACATTCCTTCCTGTGTTTTCTTACGCACCCTCACCTCAGTATATCACTCTAAGTTTTAGCATTGTATACAGTTAATGTTATCAGGACGAATTCAGGTTTCAACCACAGAAAATCCTTATTGTTATGAGAATAAATATAGTGACCAAATATATTTACATATTTAACTGACATGCAGGAGACTTGAACAGCAGCACAGCAATAAGATTATGTTGCTATAGTGAATGTTAAAATAAACAATGATAGTTTTGTCATCTAAATAATCACAAAAGATAACAAATAATCTGTACAGATTTTCTGTTAATGCTTCATGTAATCCAAATATTTTCAGGTCATCACTTAATTTACAAGACTGATTGCCCAACCCAAGTTATATATGAATCATTTTTGTTTTCAATTTCATCCTGTTAAAGGAAACAAATACATTTAAACACAAATCACTTGAATAAATCTGTGGAAAAGCTGTTCAAAGTTTAGACCACATAAAATCGATAAATAGAATAATACAAACACCTTACTGCTAAGTTATCATGATAGAAACAGTGTCACTCATATCTTTACATGTGTACAGTAGTATATTTTGATCAAGAAAAAAATTTCTTTGAGTGGATTATCCAAATGAAGATTAGTTGATGATTGTTAGCAGGCCATGGTGGTAGCACATTTTTGTGAGAAAGTGGATGGGCATTTAGAAAGTATTCGAATTTGAGAACAAAGCTGTCTTCACTTCTACACTGAAGAGTTATTGCAGAAAAATTAATTTGCCATAACCAAACGTGTATGTGAAATTTAGACAGGGTGAATAAGACAAAAATATTTATTAGCACCTACGAACTTGTTCATATCATATGAAATAACCACTGTTGAACAGCATTAGAATAAAGAAGGAGCACCACTTTGAGACGGACAGTATGACAGCATTTCTGTTTATCTTGCTTTTTCAAATGCACAGAACCTAAAATGGATTATAATAGAAAAATGCACGCATTCTCATTTGCTTCTACGATGTCTGGGCATGTAATTAGAAGTTAATTGGTGGATGGTGACTAGCAGT